CTTATCAAATGTATAATTTGCAAACATCTTCTCCCATTCTTTAGTTTGCCTTTTCACTATCACATTAGTGTCTATTCATATATGAATTTTGTAAAATTTTGATGAAAATCCAGTTTCCCTATTTTTTCTTTTGTTGTCCATCACTCCTTTTTCATACATAAAACTGATTAGCTATGAGTTTTATCCCCAGTTATTTTCAGCTTTGGCTTTTGTACTGGCTGCAGTTAAAATTTATCATCCACCTTGTCATTTATATAGTGATCTTTTACATGATCTCATCCAGGAGACTTGGGGGAAGTGATATGAGATTGTGCTTATTTATACTGATAGAGCAATGCTAATTAATGAAGATAACCCTGATGAATAGAAAATAATGCAGGAAAAATAATACAAATTTTGTATGGGAGTGATGATACATACGTTAAAATTTTTTCTATTTTCTGATTAGATGTTATTTATATTCATAAGAATGTTAAATATGGATGTCTTCATTGATTCTTAGCCTTCAGAGATATTCACTTAAAAAAATTTGAAGTATAGTGGTACCTGGGTGGCTCAGTCGGTTAAGCATCTGATTTCAGCTCAGGTCATGATCTCATGGTTTGTGAGTGTGAGCCCCTCATCAGGCTCTGTGCCGACAGCTCAGAGCCTGGAGCCTGCTTCAGATTCTGTGTCTCCTTCTCTCTCTGCCCCTCCCTTGCTCATGCTCTGTCTCTCTCTCTCAAAAATAAACAAACATTAAAAAAATAAAAAAAAATTGAAGTCTAGTTGACATATTATATTACTTTTAGGTGTACAACCTAGTGATTCAATAGTTAAGTACATTTTGAAATGCTCACCATGATAAGTGTAGTTGCCTTCTGTCACCATACAAAGTTATTGCAATTTTATTGACTATGTTTTTTCTTCTGTGCTTTTCATCTCGTTGGGTTACTTATTTTATAAATGGTATTTTTGTACCTTGTATTTCCCTTCACCTATTCCACCTGTCCCTTCTGCTCCTCCCCTTTGACAGCCACCAGTTTGCTCTATGTATTTATGAGCCTCCTGTTTTTGTTTTTTAGATTCTATGTATATATGAAATCATATGGTATCTATCTTTCTCTGACTTATTTCACTTAGCATAAGACTAGGTTTTTTTTTTTGATGTACTTATAAATGGCATTGTTTTTAAATTTCTCTGCAAGTGTACAGAAACAACAGGTTTCTGTATATTAATTTTGTATTCTGCAACTTTATGGAATTCATTTATTATTTCTAATCGTTTTTTGTGGAATCTTTAGAGTTTTCTATATATAGTATCATGTCTTCTATAAATAGTGACAACCTCACTTCTTCCTTAACAATTTGAATGTTTTTTCTTTTTGTCTGATTGCTGTGACTGGGACTTGTAGTATGGTGTGTTGAGTTAAGGTGGTGAGAGTAGATATTTTTATGTTGTTTCTGATCTTAGAGGAAAAGCTGTCAGCTTTTCACAATTAAGTATGATGTTAGCCATGGGTTTGTCATATATGACTTTATTATGTTGAAGTATATTTTCTCTCTTCCCACTTGTTTTTATCATGCAGGATCATGAAATTTTGTCAAATGCTTTTTCTGCATCTACTGAGATGATTAGATGGTTTTTATCTTCCATTTTGTAAATGTGGTATGTCATATTGATTGATTTGTGGATAATGAACCATCTTTGCATCCTTGGAATGCAGGGATTGTGGTGAATAAACCTTTAAATGTCTTGCTGAATTTGCATTGCTAATATTTTGTTGAGGATTTTTGCAGCTATGGTCATTGGGGATATTGGTATGTGGTTTTCTTTTTTTGTAGTGTCTTTGTCTGGTTTTGGTATCAGGGTAATACTGGCCTTGTGGAGTGAATTTGGAAGCATTCCTTTTTTTTAGATGAGTTTGAGAAGGATTGATAGTAAATCTTTTATGAATGGTGGAATTCACTGGTGAAGCCGTCTGGTTCTGGATTTTGTTTGTTGGGAGTTTTTTTTTCTTTTGATTTTTTTTTAAAGGTTTTTTTTTTTTTTTAAGTTTATTTATTTTGAGAGAGAGCAAGCATGAGCAGAGTAGGGGCAGAGAGAGAATAGAAGCAGGTGCTGCGCTGCCAGCACAGAGCCTAACATGGGGCTCTCACGAACTGTGAGATCATGAGCTGAGCAGAAATCCAGAGTTAGACACTTAACTGATTGAGCCATGTAGGTGCCCCTTTTGGGAGGTTTTTTTTGTTTGTTTGTTTGTTTTTAATTACTGATTCCATTTTGTTACTGGCAATCAGTCTGTTTAGAGTATCTGCTTCTTTCTGATTCAATGTTGGAAGATTGTTTCTAGGAATTTATCCATTTCTAGGTTTTCAAATTTGTTGGCACATGATTTTTTTGTAGTAGTCTCTTATAATCCTTTATATTTCTGTGGTGTCAGTTGTAACTTCTCTTTCATTTCTGATTTTGAGTTCTCACTCTCTTTCTTGATGAGTCTGGCAGATACTCAATGATTTTGCTTATGTATGTGCATTTTATGTGCATTATACTATTACATTAACTACAAAAATGGGTTAATAGTATACATATTCTACTACAAGTTGGCATTTCAAAAAAAACAACCTTAATATATCTTGGACAGTTTCCTATGTTACCTTTTATTTTTATTTTCACAGATGTATAGTACTTTATTATTGATTTAGTCAGTCCTTTATTGCTAAACACTTGGCTTGTTCTATGTTTTTGAGTTTTACAAAGAGTGCTGTAGTAAGTATCTTTGTAGATGTATTTTTATACACTTGAGCAAGTTTTTCTGTTCCAGAAAGTGTCTAATTTTTTCTTGCAGATGTTATGGAAGCAAGTTCACAATTACCCAATGTTTAACCTCCTTATGGAAATTGACTCCTATATGTTTGCATGTGTGAATCAAACTGCTGTATATGAGGAGCTTGAAGATGAAACAAGAAGGCTCTGTGATGTCAGACCTTTTCTTCCAGTTCTCAAATTAGTGACAAGAAGTTGTGACCCAGGGGAAAAATTAGATTCAAAAATTGGAGTCCTTATAGGAAAAGGTAATTTAAGTACTTCCTAGTATGAATTCTTACCATGTTTGTTGCTATATGTATAAACATGTAGTAAGTATAATCTAAGACATTGTAGAGTATGGCCCAAGGACCAATGCTTGTCTGTAAATTGTTAACCAGTCTGAGATCAGGTAAGTGTAAAAATTGAGAGTAAATGTTTATAAATTCCTGTAGCAATGTGATATTGCCACAGTATCCCAGGGGTTATATTTTTTGCATCCTTTTCTAGTGACTTATTTTTATTTGCAAAATAATGTTTCTTGGCAGATTGGAAAGAAAAAAGTTGTTCCTTTGTCTCACGTAGTTTGAGAAGAGATACCTTTTCTGAGAGATACATTCTCTGTTTCTTTTAAATGCCTCTACAGTATAAACACAATTTATATACAACTCTCTATACCAACCAAGATTTTAAGCTGATTGATAAATTCCAATATTATTGACAAATTTTACTCCTTAATTTTTCTTTAAGTAGAGTTATTTTTGTAGTGAGTGAAGATAAATTATGTTCATGTTCTTCTTTGCAAATTAATTCCAGGGAGAATTGTGAATAACAAAGAAAATATGGTACAGTCTTGTTGTAATAATCATAGCTGTCTCAGGGGCAATGGGATATCAGTATCCTGCTTTAGACAAGATACTAACTTGAGTTAAGTACTATAAGAGGTTAACTCTGGAAGAGACTTGAAGTTTGTTTGTTTGTTTGTTTATTTTTGAGTAGCAGTTTTTGGTTGTTTTCATTATTTTATTTTATTTTACTTTATTTTATTTTATTTTATTTCATTATTTTATGTTATGGTATTTTATGTTATTTTATGTTATGTTATTTTAATTTAATTTAGTTTAATTTATTTTATTTTATTTATTTATTTTTTTAAACATTTTTTTAAACGTTTTATTTATTTTTGAGACAGGGAGAGACAGAGCATGAACGGGGGAGGGTCAGAGAGAGAGGGAGACACAGAATCCGAAACAGGCTCCAGGCTCTGAGCTGTCAGCACAGAGCCCGACGCGGGGCTTGAACTCACGGACAGTGAGATCGTGACCTGAGCTGAAGTCGGACGCTTAACTGACTGAGCCACCCAGGCGCCCCTGTTTTATTTTAATTTAGAGACTTGAAGTTTAAATACAAAACCAAAATATCGACTGGTGGTTGTTGGATTTGGATTGGCCTCTGTATTGATTAAATTCACTATTACAGGATAATATAGTACCATCCCATTTAGGATTATACGTATCTTCAAGATAATCTAGTGCTATCTCCTCCAAGAACCATGCCCTGTGAGATTGCATTCTTTGATGGTGACCTATAGCAATTCAGGCTAACTAATGATTACAAATGTGGGACTACACTCTTCCCTCTGAGTACACAGAACAGAACCTTGTTGATTTACTGAATGACAGCCTGGTATTCAAAAAGTTTTTTGTTTTTTTTTTTTGTAATATTTTTTTTAAGTTTATTTATTTATTTTGAGAGAGAGAGCACAAACACATGTGAGCAGGGGGAAGGGCAGAGAGGAAGGGAAAGAGAATTCCAAGAGGCTGCATGCTCTTAGGGTAGAGCCCAACTTGGGGCATGAACCCACGAACCTTGAGATCACGACCTGAGCTAAAATCAAAAGTCAGATGCTTAATAGACTGAGCCACTCAGGCACCCCTTAAAAAGGTTAATTACTTCAGAGGATAACTAGTTTGCTTTAGGCAATATTTTTTCTCCCTTAAATAGGTTTGTAATTATTTACCATACAAAATTTTATTTTTTCCCTAAGATTTTATTTATTTATTGTTAAATAATTTTCATACTCAACATGGGTCTTGAACGCACAGCCCCAAGATCAAGAGTCACACACTCCACCAAGTGAGCCAGCCAGGTACCACCCAAATTTTCTTATATATTAATGACCTCGGTAGAGAGCTTTCCTTTCTATTTGCCAGAGCTCCAAAGATCTTTTTGATAAATTTTAAATTCTCCATTACAAAAAATCTCCCCTTTGAATTGAAGAATATATGGAAAAGTAAAAAGAATAAACACAGTCTTATCCAAGACAAGAATATTCACTGGCAATATTGAGATATATAGTTTTTTCCAAATGGCTGTGTGTGTGTGTATGAAGATATATAACTTTTGTATATTTCTATACTGATGAAAGGAAGTAGATCATAACCACACTGATTGTTAAGGAAGCTAAAATATTTGATAACCCAAAAGGTTAGCACCAGAGAGAGAGCTAACTTTTGTCAGGATATAGTTATCTTTTGAGATGTAACATGTTTTCAAAATTGAAATCTCTGCACTCTCTTCTAGTCGTGATCTCCAAAATATGTGAGCTCATTAGCCACTATTAACCTCTACATAAGCTTGCCAGACTTAGCAAATAAAAATATAGTAGATTGAGATATTAAATGGGATATACTTCCTGATAAAAATCATTCATTGTTTATCTAAAATTCAAATAGAATTGAGCATGCTGGTTTTTTATTTGGCAACACTGACTTTGCCCTGCCACAAGGCAGGGATTATATAGATGTAGGTATAGGTATAGGTTTAGATGTAGGTATAGGTATAGGTATAGGTATAGGTATAGGTATAGGTATAGGTATAGGTATAGGTATAGGTATAGGTATAGGTATAGGTATAGGTATAGGTATAGGTATGGGTAGATGTATATCTTGAATTTCTCTTTCTATAAGTAATGTGACCATATTTCCTTCTGTATCATAAAGATTATATAAAAAATTTTAATGCAGTGTGCCCTGCAATTTGATTGATCAAGATGCAAAGAGTGTTTTATATTAACTTGAACAGTTTTTAAATTCTTAACTATTTATAAATTGTATTTTAGATTTTCAGTGCATCTAGGAAACCTGATGTTAATGATCATATACACAAATTCAAGTGTTAACATTAATTTAGGAGTTTGAGTAATTCTGTTTATTATTTTACAATGAATTTTTACTTTCAATACCTAACAAGTCAGTTTTTGCCATTGCTAATTTGTATGTGGTGACTACAACCGGGGACTTGGTGAGGTCATGCCTCCTGGGAAAACAATAAACAATTATTTCAATTTAACTTCAGGAACAAGTTTGCTGCCTCCTCCTCCCCAAAGAAAACAATAGATATAATTGCCCTGATGGGTCTAAAAATACCTTTTCCTGAGTGATAATATATTTGATCATTTTATTTTTTATGTTTATTCTAAGTAATTATTTACAGAGCTGCTCTTTGGATTCTGATTATCCTCTGTAGTGAAGGTACCTGTCACCCCTGCATTCATTTCTCCAAATACGCATTAGGAAATCTTGATTGGAGGATTTTGTCAGCATCCTGAAAAACATGTTTGAATACTCCCTTATTTTCCCCGACCTATAAAGTTGTGGTATAGTTTAAAGTGAAGGATATCTAGAGTCTGGAGGACTTTAACAATGTCGTTAATGTGAAGAAATTATTCACTCAATACTTCTTTTATATTAAAAAATTATATTTGATTCTAAGCTAAATAATATTCTTATCTTAAAATTTAAGGTTTGTTGGGGTGCCTGGGTGGCTCATTTGGCTAAGTGTCCAACTCTTGCTTTCAGCTCAGGTCATGATCTTGTGGTTTGTGGGTTTGAGCCCCATCTCTCTCTCTCTCTCTCTCTCTCTCTCTCTCTGCCCCTCCCCCACTCGCTCTGTCTCAAAAAAATAAATAAATACATAAACCTAAAAAGAATAAAAATTTGAGACGTATTCCTAGGAGCAGTTGGGAAACTATTGAAGGGATTTAAATAGGGGAGTAACATCAGATTTGCATTTTTGTTTTTTTGAGAGAGCAACAGAGTGAGTGCATGAGTAGGGGAGGGGGAGAGAGGGGCAGGAGGAGAGAGTGATAATCCCAAGCAGGCTCTACACTCAGCATGGAGCCCAATGAGGAGCTCCATCCCATGACCTTGGGATCATGACCTGAGCCAAAATCAAGAGCTGGACATTCAACCACTTAACCAACTGAGCCACCTAGGTGTCCCCATCATATTTGCATTTTATAAAGAATTATTCATACTGGAAAATGGAGCATGGGTTGGAGAGATTAAGACTGGGAGTAGAGAAATTAGTGAAAAACTGATGTAGTAATCCATGGGAGGGACAATGATGGACTGGGAATAAATTAATGGCTGCAGGAACTAGGAGAAGTAGACAGGGTTGAGAGACATTTAGGAAGTGGTTTAGACGTGATTTTTAGTAGATAAAGGGAGATAAAGAGTTTGATTTTTGTTAAATGTAGTAGGTACACATTTCCCTTTCCTCACCTGTAATACCTGTGTCTGTGAGTAGAAAGAGCTTCAGCTGTGCTGGCAAACAAGCTCCAAAATCCCTCAGCTAGTCTGCATAAATTACAGTTCTTTCATGGCTGAATAAGAGTGTATATTTCCATTCCAGATCCAAAACTATCCAGGAAATTATAATGTACTCTCAAGATTTTACCTTTGCTGCATTCATTATGCGGCTTAACCATTTTTATGTTTTTATATTTAATACCACAGATTGATTCTAATATTTATTTTTGAAATAATAATTGTTTTAATATGTAAAAGAATATAGACAATGGAGATAAGTCCACTGTCTAGGTAACCCTGATTGACATGCATATATTCAGATAGTATAGATTCAAATGATAGGTTATTAAATGGCCTTATGGAACAAATACTAGCAGGCTGCTTCCCTGTACTTCTGTCCTCAGCACCGAGAAATACTGTCATCATCTCAGGTATCTTTTCAGAACAAAAATGTATACATATTCTATACTCTTTCTTTTGAATTTGCATAAAAGGAATCTTGCGAGACTCATTTTGTCCCTGCTTTTTACATTTAACTTACCTGGAGCTTTTAATGTAACAATACCAATCTAATCTATCCATTGATCACTTCTACTACCATATAATGGTATATGGATGTATCTCAATTTTAAAACTAGGTCTTAATGATTAACTTTATTTCCAGTTTTTAAATTATTATAAACAAAACTACAGTGAACATTCTTGTACTGTTAACAGTACGTTGTACAAATAATGTACTTCTCTAGGTTTGTGGAAATAAAGACCACCCAATGAGAACAGACTATTTAGTCAGAGCTTGCTATTATAGTAAAGGAGCTTTTTGTTTGTCAGTGACCCAAAGGCAGGCAGGGGAGTGAAAAAGTGTTATGCTAAAGAAGGGGGAATGCCTCTTGTATGGCTGATTGGAAGTTTTTGGCCAGAAGCTGGAGGTGGGGGGTCACTAGAAGTTGGGCATCTTATGTGCATGATTTGGGGGTGCATATTTGGCACTTACTGGCTAGTACTGGGTCTCTCAGGCTAAAATTCCTGTTGGCAGAATTTTGAGGTCAAAGAATGTATGTGTATGTTTATAATTTCTAATATTAAATAAATACGCCTTCCAGTACAGGGTGTTGTTAAACTTTAAAAGGTTTGCCATCTTACAAGTAAAAGTTTATGTATACAAACTTCTGCATGTTTATTTGTTGTAAATTTCTAGCATTGTTTATTAGGATAATGATAAGTTTATGAAAAGGTTGCTGTATTTAGTTGTCCGCATGGTAGAAGTGGTTCATAATTAAGTACAGTGAAGAATAATTTTATATTCATGAGATTTTTGGCTGATATAACCATTGTTGAAAAATCACAGTGAAACCTAAGTTTAATCTATAAAATTTAAATTTACTGAGCCTGAAGTAAAAATGTGAGTTTTAAACTGATTAATTTAAAAGTTTTCAGATTCTTAGGCTTTCTCAGATATGATAAACGTGATTTTTACTTGGTTTGTAAAGAAAAACTGGATAGTTTATAAGTGGTTTTATCTAATTATTGAGTTTATTTCTTATTTTGAGAGGGAGAGAGAAAGCATACGAGCATGTGTGTATAAGTGGGGAGGGACAGAAAGGAGAGAGAGAGAATCCCAAGTAGGCTGCATGCTGTCAGCAGGGAACCCCATTTGGGGCTCGATCTCATAAACCTTGAGATCATGACCTGAGCCAACCTTTAACCAGCTGAGCCACCCAGGCGCCCCTTATATGTGGTTTTAAAATGTGTATACTATTTCCGTGATTATCTTTATCAAACTGGTACCTAACTACATTTCTTTGAAAGATTTCAAGTTTGTCTTCTTTAGAAAGCTGATTGTGTGTTCACCTTCTATATATGAAATGTGTTATTTTATCTGGATATTCTTTTGATCCTTGTGTAATATTTTCCTACCCAGTTTTGTTTTCTTGATAAAAATTGAACATCCAGTATATTTGGTTGGATATATTTTGTATTTCTTGTATTATTATTAGCTACTCAAAATGACACTGTAAAAAAATTTGTTTAGGTCTACATGAATTTGATGCACTGAAGGATCCTGAAGTGAATGAATTCCGAATAAAAATGCGCAAATTCAGTGAAGAAAAGATTCAGTCACTTGTGGGATTGTCTTGGATGGATTGGCTAAAACAGACGTATCCACCAGAACATGAACCATCCATCCTTGAAAACTTAGAAGATAAACTTTATGGAGGAAAGCTCATTGTGGCTGTTCATTTTGAAAATTGTCAGGTAGTGTTGTATTATTTTAAGAAATATATTGTAATAAATCTGTGATTTTACCTGAATGCAGCACCAATCTTAGAAGAGGTTCTTGCTCACTTGGTAAATGCTGTTACAAAGAGCATTTTTAGATTTAAGATGGAAATTTTAGCATTAGGTATGATACATGCTTTGCATGTGTATGATTTTTGATGCAATGTTATATTAGTCTAGATTGGGTTTGGAAAATTGCAGTTTTTGAATGGTTTTTATACTTAAAAGGGATGTAAAAAACTCAAGGAATTTTTGAGAGATGTTAAAGAAAGAGAAAAAGAATGAAAAGAATATTGACAAAGACTCATAGGTTGTCAGCAAAACCTGGGTCTTTACAAAAAAAGATTGCCAACCCCAGTCTAGACAGTGTTTTTTAGTTACTGGGTTTTCTCATGTGATTTTGCTCTTGTCTATAAAATGAAAGCTTTGATCAAATGATCTCTTTTTTCCATATTCTTATATTTGCATTCTTTAAATATGTAATTAAGTGCTGATATGGAATTGGACATTATAATGGAGTGTGTATATACAGTTAATCCGTATCTGAATAGTCACAGTTATTTTAGAAGCCAGATTATGGTACTACCTTTGTATATAGTATGGTCATTTTATCATCTAGGATCTGGCTTCGAATTAGGGTAGGAGTTCAAGAATATTTTGTGCTGTTCTTTCTTCAATTACTCTGATAACAACAATGATATAAACCCATTTTAGTAAACATTCTGTATTAAGCACTTCTCCATGCTAAGAGCTATGAAAGGTATTTTTGTTATAGTCTCCACTTGTAAATATTAATTTTTTATTTTTTTAGAGAGAGTGCGAGTGGGAGAGAGGGACAGAGGGAGGAGAGAGAGAGAGAGAGAGAGAGAGAGAGAGAAGCTTAAGCAGTCTTCACACTCAGCGTGGTGCCTAATGCAAGTCTCGATCCCACGACCCCAGATCATGACCTGAGCCAAAATCAAGATTCAGACACTCAACTGAATGAGCCACCCAGGCACCCCTTTATTCTCCACTTTCAAAAACAACTCTATAAAGTGTTACCATCCTCGTTTTATAGGGAAGAAAATGAAAAGGAGAGAAGTTTTTTGTATGTGTGCCAAGGCCTTATAGCTGGTCTGTGGTATAGTCAGGATTTTCTCCAGATGTTTCTAGTTTTATTCAGTTCTGCCTCCTTCCCAACAATATGTATCTAAATATTTGTAGGAACAAATGTAAAAGCAGGAGCCTGCCTTCTGGCCTTTTACAAAGGAAGTTTATATAGGTTAAAAAAAAAACACAACAACAACAAAAACATTTGATGCTGTATCCTGAGATATGTTCAGACAGAAGTTCAATTAAACCAAGATTTGGATATTATAAAATCTAAAGATCAAATTTAAAATACTGTTTAGGGAATTCTGCCCTCTTGAAAAAGCTGGAATGGGGAATTTTATTTACTACTGTTAGGTGACTAGAAGTCAACTTGAAAACACTGGCTCAGGGCAATTTGCCCATCTAGGTCAGTCTGCATTTCATTACTTATGGGTCAGATCTCTACTGGCTGTACATATCTTAATGTAATCATCATTGTAAAAAAGTATGTGTGAAAATAAATGTTTTGAAATTAAAAGAGAAATGGAGATACTGTAAAATCTTAGTGGATTCCAAGCATAGAATACTTTTTCAATTTTTTATATATATATATATATGTGTGTGTGTGTGTGTGTGTATATATGTGTGTGTATATATGTATATATATACACACACACACACACACACACATATATATATATATATATATATATGGAGAGGTTTTTTGTTTAAGTTTTTAATAATTCATTGCTCATCAGGACAAGTGCACTCTTTAATCCCCATCACCTGTTTCACCCATCTCCCACCTACCTCCTTTCTGGTAACCATCAGTTTGTTTTCTACAGTTAAGAGACCCTTTCTTGGTTTCTCTCTCTTTCTCTCTTTTTATGCCTCCTTGCTTGTTTGTTTTGTTTCTTAAATTCCACATGAGTGAAACCATGTGGTGTTTGTATTTCTCTTACTGACTTACTTTGCTTATCATTATACTCCCTAGCTCTAACTGTGTTGTTGCAAATGGCAAGATTTCATTCTTTTTTTTATGGCTAAATAATATTCTGTTGTGCATATCCCATCTTCTTTATCCATTCACCTATCAATAGACACTTGGGCTATTTCCATAATTTGACTATTGTAAACAATGCTGTTATAAACATGGGGGTGCATATATCTCTTTGAATTAGTGTTTTTCAATTTTTTTGGTAAATACCCAGTAGTGTGATTACTGTGTGTAGAGTAGTTTTACTTTTAACTTTTTTTTTTTTTAATTAAAAAATTGAAAGCATTTTTTCTATCTTTAAATTTTTGAGGAACCCTCATACTGTTTTCCACAGCTGCTGGACTGGTATAATTTCTCACCAACAGTGCAAGAGAGTTCCTTTTCTCCACATCCTTGCCAAAGATTGTTGTTTCTTGTGTTTTTGATTTTAGCCATTTGACAGGTATGAGGTGGTATCTCATTTTTGTTTTGATTTGAATTTTCCTGATGATGAGTGATATTAAGCATTGTTTTTTGTGTCTGTTGGCCACCTGTATGTCTTCTTTAGAAAAATGTCTATTCATGTCTTCTGCCAATTTTTTCATATGATTATTGGTTTTTTAGGTGTTAACTTGTAGAAATTCTTTTTTTTTTTAATAATTTATTTATTTTGAGAGAGGGAGAGAGCATGAGCAGGGGAGGGGCAGAGAGAGAGAGAGAGAGAGAGAGAGAGAGAATATGAATCTCAAGCAGGCTCCGTTCTTTCAGCCTAGAGCCCAATGTGGGGCTCCATCTCATGAAATGTGAGATGATTACCTTAGCCGAAAGTAAGAGTCAAGATGCTCAACTGACTGACTCACCCAATTTGTATAAATTCTTTATATATTTTGGATACTAACCCTTTATTGGATATGTCATTTGGAATATCTTCTCCCATTCTTTATGTTGCCTTTTAGTTTCATTGATTGCCTCCTACACTATGCAGAAGTTTTTTATTTTGGTATAATCCCAATAGTTTAGTTTTGCTTTTGTTTCCTTTGTCTCAGGGAACCAAAAAGTTGCTATAGCTGATGTCTGAGTAATTACTGCCTGTGCTCTCTTCTAGGATTTTTATGGTTTCCTTTCTGACATTTAGGTCTTTAATACATTTAGAATTTATTTTTGTGTATGGTATAAGAAAGTGGTCCAGTGTCATTCTTTTGAAAGAAGCTGTCCAGTTTTTCCAACATCATTTGTTAAAGAGACTGTCATTTTCTCTTTGTATATTATTTTCTGCTTTGTTGAAGATTAATTGACTATGTAATTGTGGGTTTATTTCTGTTTTTTTTTTTTTATTTTGTTCTGTTGATCTGTGTGTCTGTTTTTGTGCCAGTACCATCCTGTTTTGTTTTTTTTTTTAATTTTTTTTAACGTTTATTTATTTTTGAGACAGAGAGAGACAGAGCATGAATGGGGGAGGGTCAGAGAGAGGGAGACACAGAGTCTGAAACAGGCTCCAGGCTCTGAGCTGTCAGCACAGAGCCCGACGCGGGGCTCGAACTCACGGACCGTGAGATCATGACCTGAGCCGAAGTCGGCCGCTTAACCGACTGAGCCACCCAGGTGCCCCAGTACCATCCTGTTTTAATTACTACAACTTAGTAATATATCTTGCAGTCCAGATTTGAGATGCCTTCAGCTTTGCTGTTCTTTGTCACATTTGCTTTGGCTATTTGGAGTGTTTTGTGGTTCCATACTAATTTTATGATTGTTCTAATTGTGTGAAAAATGCCGTTGGTATTTTGATAGGGATTGCATTAAATCTGTAGATGGCTTTGGATAGTAGAGACATGTTAACAGTATTTGTTCTTCCGGTCCATGATCATGGAATGTCTTTTCATTTCAATGTATCATCCTCAATTTCTTTCATCAGTGTCTTATAGTTTTCAGAGTATAGGTCTTTCACCTCTTTGGTTAGGTTTATTTCTACATATCCTATTATTTTTGGTGCAATTTTACTTTTTTTTTTTTTTTTTTTTTTTTTTAGTGTTTATTTGTTCTTGAGAGAGAGAGAGAGAGAGAGAGAGAGAACATGAGCAGGGGAGGGGCAGAGCGAGAGAGGGATGCAGAATCTGAAGGAGGTTCCAGGCTCTGAGCTGTCAGCACAGAGCCTGATGCGGGGCTCGAACCCACAAGCTGTGAGATCATGACCTGAGCTGAAGTCAGATGTTTAACTGACCGAGCCACCCAGGCACCCCTTTTTGGTGCAATTTTAAATGGGATTGTTGTCTTAATTTCTTTTCTGCTGCTTTATTATTAGTGTATAGAAATGTGTATAGAAACAGATTTCTATGTATTGATTTTGTATCCTGTAACATTACTGAGTTCATTTATCAGTTCTAGTAGTTTTTTGGTGGAGTCTGTAGGGTTTCTATATATAGTATGTCATCTGCGAATAGTGAAAATATTACTTATTCTTTACCACTTTGGATGCCTTTTATTTCTTTTTTCTTGTCTGATTGCTGTGGTTAGGACTTCTAGTACTACAGTGAATAAACATGATGAGAGTGGACATCCTTTTCATGTTCCTGGTCTTAAGGGAAAAGCTCTCAGTTTTTCACCTTTAAGTATGATCTTAACTGTGGGTTTTCCGTATATGACCTTTATTGTGTTGAAGTATGTTCTATCTACTCCTAATTTGTTGAGGGTTTTAATAATGAATGGAGGTTGTACTTTGTCAAATGTTCTTTAAGCATCTGTTGAATTGATCATGTGGTTCTTATCCTTTATCTTATTGAAGTGTTGTATCATATTGATCAATTTGTGAATATGGAACCGCCCTTGCATCCCTGGAATAAATTCCACTTGGTTATGTGAATCATTTAAAAAAACTTTTTTTTATATTTATTTATTTCAAGAGAGAGAGAGCTAGTGAATGAGCACTAGCAGG